TTAACTATACATGTTAAAACTAGCTCTAGGAACTTAACAATTCTAGGCTATGTTTGGTTGACAAATAAGCTAACTTATATCTTAATTGATTAGTTTATAAGTTCCATGTATTCAAATATGCTTCTTTTGGTAGGACGAGAGCTTATTTGATAAGCTTCTTTGGGTTTTTCAAATAAGCTCGTTGAAATTTTTATTTCAGCTAGTTTATCAGCTAATTTTACTAAACACTTCTAGCATATAAGCTATATTTTTAGCTATAAGTCACAAGATATAAGCTATAAGCTCGAAAATTATTGATAAGTTATTAGCTAGTGTATCAGCTAGTTTTACCAAGCATAACTCTAGTCCATTCATAAAGCTTTATTAACTTTCAATTACATGATCATAGGAATAATTTGAAATTGAAACAAATTATTATAAATGCCATATTTAATACATAATATAAAAACATGCTAACATCAACGGGTGTTCTTTTAAAAAAAATCATATTTCATCAATTACATTATACTTATCTATCCAAATCACTCTACTCAATTACCAATTAATTTACTCTAATTTTACAAGCTCCGATAAAACATTGCTTAAACACTCAAGTCAATGGGTTAATTAATTTCAAGTTTACTAATACTTGAGGCTTGTTTGTTGGATTATTCTTTGCTCTGATTTTCTTCTTTCTTTTTTTTTTTAATTTATTATTATTATTATTATTATTATTATTATTATTATTATTATTTTGGCTTGGAATATAAATATTTATCAACATGTAATGCGCGTCTTTGACCGTCCCTTATATCCTACACCTCCAAAATTGGTCTACAATGTAGCACGCCTTTTTCTTTAATTTAAAAAAAAAATGAATTTCTATTTATTTTATTTATACGGCTTCATAGCAAAATCGTTGAATAAATGATGATCCAATAAAAATATACTACTTAATTATTGATGTGATTTAAATTTAAGGTGTGTATTGATTTCACAATATATTTAAGTGTTAGTTCAAATGATAACTACACCAACTATGATATATAAAAATAATTTGGCATTAAATACAACTGATGCATGATTCATCTATTTTTTATTTTTATTTTTAATTGCCATTCGAATTTGAATATGTGAAGTAAATTAGGGTGTTTAATGTGGTTCTGGTGTGATCCCGTAACAGTTAACTTGCTTCACTTTTTATTTATTTAATTTAATTTAATTCATTTTAAAATGAAAATTAGGGAATCCGAAATAATAAAGTATGTGATTGTCATTGTTTCTGGTAGTCTCGCTCACCTGCCCACGGTGGGCAGTGCCCACCACTTTATTTTACATGAAAAACGTATTTTGAGAATACGTTTTTCAATTAATTTAATTGAAAAACGTATTCTTATAATACGTTTTTTATATAAAACAAAGTGGTGGGCACTGCCCACCGTGGGCAGGCATCAAAATTTTTGTTTCTGGTTTGACTTATAATAGTTCTCATGGCTTATTAAACGGTTTTTGACCAATGTTATAGTTGGAATAAGGTCAAACGTATTACATTGACCAATTTTGGTTCATTCCTATTATTTTTTTTTTTATTTTTTATTTTTTATTATTATTATTATTTTTTTTTTCTAACTCGATGGGTTCAGGCTAAGGAACTGCAAACGAACCGAGCGGCTCGCGAGCGCTCGATTCAAAGCTCGACTCGAGCATGAACTCGAGTCGAGCTCGAGCCCATATTTTGTCTTATCGAGCAGCTCGTCAAGCGGCTCGACATACATGTTAAATTACTAAAATACTCCATATATATATATGTTAGCATATGTCCTTAATGGTAATTTTACCTTTCTACTAAAAAAGTTTTCGAGCCGAACTCGAGCCGAGCTCGAGCATTTTGATTTCGAGACGAGTTCGAGCTATTGTAATTTTTTATCGAGTCGAGCTCGAGCAGGTAAAAAAAAAAAGTCCTGCTCGATAAGGCTAGCCAAGAACTAAGTAGGTTTGCCGGTAGATATTCACTCATCGCATTTAAATGTTCATAAAATTCTAAACCTCATAAGTTTACACTAAATCAACTAGTTTTTCATCAATCAGTTATAAGATCGAAATTAACTTGTGAATGTGTTTGGTAAGCACCATATGCTAGCTTATAATTTATTTGGTTAGTTTATAAGCATATGCTTTCAGATAAGATTGATTTGTTAGGATGAGTCGAGCGTATCTCATAAGTTTCATTGAATAGCTTTTCAAATGAAACCGTGGATATTTTTATTTCAATTGGCTTACCAGCTAATTTTACCAAACAATTTTATTACATCGAGTCGGGTAGGACCACAAGGGCGACAAAGCTTTCCCTACATTCCCAGGCTCGAACACGAGACCACTGGTTAAGCTGGAAGAGACCCAAGCCATCTCATCCAAGCGCTCTTGGATTATAACTTTGATTTTTGATATTTATCAAATCGTTTATTTAACAAATCGCTAATTGGATCATTTAGTCAAATAAATTAATACAATTCGTTTATCTACTTATGTAATCAACAATCCATCATCAGTTAATTGTTAAACAAGGTCACAATGCGGGCAGTCACCTTAGATCACCTTCACACAAACATGCATCCCCACGATATATTAATCAAACGATTAAAAATATTAATGTGTGTTTGCACACATCTATTACTATATAATTAGGCAACCCACTTACTAAAAATAGTAAGTGTTTTAGTGGGTCCCTCATTATATTACTATTTATGGAAAGTTAGTTCTAATTTTTTATTCTTTTATTAAACGTGCTTCAACCTCCGTTATTTTTTTTTTTCATTTTTAATAATATGTTAATAGTAAAAGTGGACCTAAATTTGTTATTACCATTTATAGATAGACATTTTAAAATGTTTTGTCTGTTTTGATTTCTCATTAATAAAAAAGTAAATTTCTTTTTACATGTAAATGATATGTTGAATCACGGTGAATTATTTATGATGTATGTTAAATAATAATTTATATTTAAAGTCTTCCTAAAAATATGAAGATACTAGATAATAATATGATACTTATTTAAATAAAAGAATGGTTCACAAATAAAAAAATTGTAAATATATGTATAGAAAATAATAGTTAATAAATAAGATTACATTATAAATTATAAAACCAGACAAGTAAGAAATAATATATTAAAGTGTCAAAATACGATCTAAATTACATGATAAATTCAAACAAACTGTAATAAAATGTGTTAAAATAATAAAATAATTTGAGAATTTTCTTATATCCCAACAATATATATTTGCGCATTTAGAACATGATGTTCCAATTAAATCAATTTAGTTACTCAACTTTTCGTTTATCAATAAAGTTTGGTCCACATCGTTAGATTTCATAAAAAAATAAATAAATAAATAACGGTTTTAGAAAGAATTTCGTTAAATTCAAGGAAAACTATATAAAAAAACTAAAAAAAACTATATAAAAAAAATTCGTTAATACTATGTCAATTTGTTCTATTAATAAAAAAATAAAGAATATATATATATATATATATATATATATATATATATATAGGAATCTACTTTTAGGCTTTTAATTCTGAACTTTACATTGTTGCTTCTCGAGTTACAAATAAAAAGACACAAGATACTGATATATAATGAGACATAAAATATACAGATATAAACATTGTATATATATATATAGTAGTCTATTTTAATGGCATATAAAAATTATTTATTCTATTTATGTTTCCTTATTTCATTTATTTTTAATAGTTCCGTGCATTTGCACGGGCTAACGTACTAGTTAATCCTATATATGTTATTTTTTGAAAATACAACATATAATATGTTTGGTCAGTAATGCCTACCCACAGTGGGCACATGTCAATATGTTCATTGTTTATGTGGCACGCACACATTCCTGATGTTAATATGTTCAAAAAAATGCATCACCAATGTGTGCATGTCACATAAACGGTGAACATGTTAACATGTGTCCACTGTGGATAGGGGAGCATTACACTATGTTTGGTAGTGTTGTAGTTATATATCAGAACCTCAACTATAAAAAAATAAAAATAAAGACCATTGGAATATAATGTAATAATTTCACCATTATATTTTCAGTAAAACTAAAACAACAACAATAATAATACAACACTGTGTACTATAGCAAGGTAAGTGAGCTATATTTGACATGCATTTTAATAATCAAACTGCATAATTGCATTTAGGTATATTGATAATTATATATGCCTAAACACATCCATAGCAGAAAAGAGGTTAATCGAACAGCAATCAAGAAAAACAAATAATATTACGAGTTGACTTAATGGTTATAAGAAAGTCGACCAAATCATATTTTTTAAATGCAAATATTTAAAAAAAAAATATATATATACATAATTAAAAAAATGTTAATTAAGACTTCACTTGAATAGTTGAATTGATATTAAAGAAAGTTGATGGTAAGTTTATATAGTGTTTATATGATATACCCTATATATTAATTCAGAACGTGCTGAACTTAAATGACAGACTTTCATGATAAAATTTAAAACAATTTTTTTTAATTTAATTTTAAAATTTAAGAACAATTTTTTAACAAGCACCCGTGTAATACACCAGTATTGTACAATTTATACATAAATATAAAGTCATCTATCAGCCTATTGTCTATACTATTTGATAATAAATAAATTTTGGTTAATGTCTTAAAAATTAAAGTAATGTAAACATTGGGAAATGATACAGTCCCATTACGAATCATTCCGTCGAACCGATAGATCATCATGCAACTGTCAGATATAGTTGATCTAACGATTACAGACCCGACGGAATTATTCAGTAGCATTTCCCACTTTCATAAGTTAACTTATGTAGTCTCACACTCTACCTTGGTAACTCTCTTGCTCACGGTGGGTGAACACAATTTAATATAGTTATCATTTAATTTGATAGAAGATTAACAAGATATTGACCGGTGATACATGCCTATGATCAGTAGGCAATAAAGAAGGAAGAAGCTAGTGTTTTATGGGGTCCAAAGCAGGATTCCGAGTACCGCAGCCTCCTCCGCCGCCGCCCCCCGCCGCCTCCCCCCGGGTCACTCACCACCACTATCCTCAGCCGCGTACAT